TTTATTATTTTTTTTTACTTGGTCAATCTCTATGTCAACCAACTTTTACCTGGTTCTGTTTCTGATTGGTTGATTGAGTGGCTTTAATATTGTTAACTGTTTTGATTGTGCAGAAAGAGGATGTCCATCATTCGATTATATCTGACCTTCAGAATGGGAATTCAGAGACCAGGAGGCGTCTTGCTGTATATTGTTTGAAGGTGAATGTTATTTCTAGGTTCTTGCATTTGAAGCTACTCATTTTTTATGTTACCATATTACAGGCTTGGCATGCATGTTGTGTAAGTCAAATATGCCTCAGGCTCATGTTGTAATCTTGTCATGCGTATTTGTTTGTTTTACCTTTTTCAATATATTCAGTTAGGCTGGAATACCCTTTTTTGGCAGATCTGTTTCTTTTCTCATTGTCATATTTTCTTCTCTTTTTCCTACTATTTTTCTTTCACATACACCATTGGGAGTCAGTTTTCATTTCTTTCTATCAAATTTCCCGTTTGTCCTCGGTGGAGTTTATAAAGTACCTTATATGATTATTAGATATATTCAGGCGAGAGAAAATACAATTATAGTGCTTTCTATTATGCATGAAGTACAATTATAGTGCTTTCTATTATGCATGAAGTATAAAACTAAATCGGGAGACAATACGACCAAGCAGGTAAATCACCACAAGTGTATATCTTCTACCAAATTTCGAGGAACAAATACAACATTTACCGCAACACAAGCATGCAGAGCTTTGTTGACTCTTTTAACTTATTTTCAACATTTCTCTCAAGCATGCTTGCCTGGAGATGTCTTCTTGGCTACTAATAAAATTTCTACTCACTTCAACTTTTGTTCTGTTGGAATGTGGGGCAACAAGTATGATTCATTTCTGAAGACAAAAGTCTGCTATGGATCTACTGTTAGCTAACCAACTTCTTCATCGTCTTAAATTGTTATCATGAATAGTTGTTTAATGTTTAATCTGTTCCATTATATACTGTTGCTGAAAGGCTCAACAATGTGCAGGATGCTTACCTTCCACAACGCTTACTAGATAAGTTGATGTTTATTTATAACTATGTGGAGATGGCTCGTGTAACTGGTGTTCCCATGTCATTTCTACTTTCCAGAGGGCAGAGCATTAAGGTTGGTTGAGAAATATATAGCTCTACTTTTGATAATAACAGGGTAGGTTGTAAGATTATGAACTGCAGATCTAATTCGAACTTTTATCCTTAGGTGCTGTCTCAGCTTCTACGGAAAGCAAAACAAAAGAATCTAGTCATACCAAATGTGAAACAGGCTGGATCAGAACAGGGATCCTATGAGGGTGCAACTGTAAGTTTCATTTCTGCAATTATATGAATCCACAGATATCTTTATACAGAAAGTTGCCCACATTGCCGTACTGGTGATGATAATTGTAGGCTAGACTGGCTAGTTAATTAAAATACTACTGATACGGAGCCTGAACAGACTGATTCAGCTGAGCAGAAAATTCAGCTGCCAGGACTCTCGTTAGGGTGCTAACGTTCGTGCTTGAACAATTTTTAGTCAAGCGCCAATCCAAATGCTTGACTCTTACTCCAGATAAAAACATATTTAAAGTTTGTATACGTTAGATCATACTCGGCTTGAGTAGGGAGTTTCAGTATTAGCACTTTATAGCTTTTTTTTTTTGGTTGGACAAAGAATAAAATACTGTCTGATTGGCAAGAAATTTCAATGCAGGTTCTGGAAGCCAGAGCAGGATTCTATGATAAGCCTATTGCAACACTTGATTTTGCATCTTTATATCCATCAATTATGATGGCATACAACTTATGTTATTGTACATTGGTAACATTCTTCTCGATGGTTTATTACTTTTTTGTCCCGCTTTGGGGTTTGGGCGTGTTGGTAATTTATTATGATGTAGAGTTTGTAAATCATAATTTTATATCCGTTGAGATCCACATGAACCAAGATGTATATTCACTGTCTATTATGTTTATAAAACAGGTAACCTCAGAAGATGCCCGTAAACTTAATTTGCCTCCAGAATGTGTCAATGAAACTCCATCTGGCGAAAAGTTTGTCAAATCGAATTTACAGAAGGTAAACTGTGGCATCTTTTCTCATTTGATGTTGTGAAATTGTGAGTTCTCATTATGCATGGGTTTTATTTTCCTTTCTTAATGATTGAGTTCCATGTCAGGGGATACTGCCAGAAATTCTTGAAGAACTTTTGACTGCACGTAAAAGGGCTAAGGCAGATTTGAAGGTTCTTTCATTATTTATTCTTGTTACTACACTATATCCTTTGCTTCCTTTACAACATGGTACAACTTTATTCAATTTTTCTTTAAAAGGCCAATTTACCATGCAAATGGCCTAGATACTGGCAGTGCTAAATCAGTTCCCGCGCTGGAAATTTCAAACCTCTTGTTTCAGTTTGATATGGGTTTCATTTAATGTGATCAATATCATAGTTTTTTGTTAGTTGGAAATGTTCTCAAAACTCGGAAAAGTGTACTGGTGAGAAGATACATAATCTTTTTAACTTATAACTTTTGCTATTCAACATAATTCTTCCATTACATTTACATAGAATTTATATTGGAAAGATCAAATGATGCCAATGAAAAAAAAATATTATTTTTGGGTGGGAACGAATCTGTAAAGATGTAAATGTACTTCAGTTACACGAGATGTATCAATTTGATAATATTTTCATGGGTTCTGGTTGGAATTAATATTCAGTGTCGCTAAGTATTTTGAATCCTTGATGACATGGAGAGATAACAATTACTGAGTAATTTTGCTTACTATCTTTATTTGATCAAGTAATTGACTGAGGTATCGTCATTAAAGTATTGTGATGGAGACAAGATTGTGTGGCTTTTCTGAACATGATCGTTTGGCATCATTATTAATTTATTCCTTTTATTTTATTATTATTAATTCTAGATGTGGTAGGAAGTAAATTTTATTATAGGAAAAATATTTATCCTAGTCATTTTTTTGGTAGATAAGTTATTTCATTAGGGTTGTTAGGAGATCTATTTAAGACTCTTATTCGTTTGGTTGAAGATGCACTTGATTTTGATTAAGAAAATACGAGAGTTCTCTCTCAATTCTCTCTTGCGTTTATGCTTTTGCTACATCAGTTGGTAAACTGGTACGATTCCTACACGATGCCGCCCCAACGGAACGATGCTGCGGACGAAATGGGCAACGCTGCGATTGAGGCGTTGGGGCACCGGGTAGACATGAAGAAGTCAGAGCCACCCACGACAATTATCATTGCCTCCACCACCACCGGTAACAATAGTCAAGTCAGAAGGGTACCAAAAAGACTTTCTAATCGAGTGGTGATTTCACCTTGAGAATGTGCATAGACATGCATAGAAAAATGCTTTGTGCAGCCAAAGGAAACTGCGCCAGGTTGTCGATCTGACAGCGGGACTCGAGGACATGAGGCTGGCGCTACACATCACTGTAACCGGCAATCGTACGAACCGCGCGCTAAAAGGAGTACGTGGAGGCCGCGGGGGGTTCACGGTGGACGTAGTCGGGATGTTCGCGGGGTACCCTGCTCTAGATCACCTCTCGTCGCTCTTTTGTAACAATGATCTTGAGGGCAGTGTCTTTGAGGTAAATTCGTTTGGTATGGGACGAGGGTCGATTCACCGATGATTCGCGTTGGATGTCATCGTTCTGGGTTGAGATCCTTGAATTTTTGGGGGCTTGGAGGCCGCCGAGTTCTTGGATGAGTATAGGTCGACCGAGTATGAGGGTCCGCCTCTCTTTTATGACGAGGGTCGACCGATTATGATGGTCCACCTCTATTTTATGACGAGGGGTCAATCGAATATGATGCCTCTTTTTGATGATGAGAACCATGTGGCCGAGGAACACATGACAGTAGACGTCGACCTGAAGCTTCTTTTTCGTCGATCCTGTTCGGCGGGAGTAACACCTGGAGGAGTTAAAGTGCCACGCAGTTTGGTGAATGAAGAAATGCAAGAGAAATTCAGACCCTAAGGGCTTGATTGTTTATGGAGTTAAAGTACCTGGAGGAGTTGGAGGAGTTAAAGTACCACGTTCATCCACTCGACTGGGCCAGACCCTAGGGCTTGAGTGTTTATGGAATAATTTATTCAAAATGAGTTATTTTGGTTAACCACAGTTAATTTTGAAAAAGGTGTATGATTAGTTGTTAGTGGAATTTTAAGAATGTATTAAAATAATATTTAAAATAAAATGATTAAAATTGATTTGATTTAAAAGTAAGAGATAAATGATTGGAAATGATTGAAAATGATAGATAGTTAAAATAATAGAATAATGATTGGATGAATAGTGAATTAAGAGTCCATTGCAAATGGAGCTGGAAGAGTCAATGTTGACAATTCTTCTGGCATCGTGCAAATAATGGACTAGATCAAAATGACTCAATTAAATTGTAGTGCTTCTTCTATTAGTGAAGTTTCTAGAAAAAATATATCAAACGACGCAACGCACCTTGGGTCGCTATGGAAACAGCCTCCTTGTAATTTACAAGGGTAAGGTCTGCGTACAACTGACCCCCCAGACCCAACCTGTTTGGGAATATACTGGGTATGTTTATGTTGATGATGATGTTGATGTGGATGAATAATGAATTAAAGTTGATGTGATGTGTAAAAATGATTGGTTTGTATTATTTAATCATATGAATAATATTAAAGATAGTGGGGTTGAGTTAAAGTTAGAATTAAATTTTGAGTTTGAAATAAAAGTGAGTAAAATAATTTGTAAACAATCAAGCCCTAATTGGCGCTATATGTGAATAGTTGGTCCACGACCATCAAATACTCATTGTAAGGAACTTGACTCAAAGCCTGTTCTACTCGAGGGATTTTCTGAGTGGAAACATGCCACGGATTCATGGGGATATAAGATGTTATCTGCCATAGAGGCCATCACTGAATTAGTTGCAATTGGCTTTTGTCTGCAGAGACACATGGCTTCATGCGTCTACCGCAAATTTGGCCCGATCGATATTGTGGAGAAACTCAATCCTAATGCTTACCGCCTTCGTTTGTCGTCTCAACACTTTTGACGTCTGTAATGTCAAACACTTGGTGTTGCCTTTCTAAGATGATAATTTCGATGAAGACGAGATTGTGCCAGATTTGAGGGCAAATACTTTTTGTGAGGGAGAATGATGGAAACGAGATTGCATTGACTTTTTAGGACTAGCTTGACCGTTTGACATCATTAGTTTAATTAATTTATTCCTTTTATTTTATTAGTTCTAGATTTGGTAGGAAGTATATTTAATTGCTGGAAAGATATTTATCCTAGTAATTTTCTTGGTAGATAAGTTATTTCATTAGGGTTGTTAGGAGATCCATTTAAGACTCCTATTCTTTTGGTTGAAGATGAGAGTTCCCTATCAATTCACTCTTGCGTTTACGCTTTCGCTACTGTCATATTCTCACTTTTTTTTATTCATTGGAATAATAACTCCTTGGTTTTGCGGAGATGCATTTGTTGCGTTGGTTTTGCGGGCACACAAGAAGGGAGAGAATTGAGGATATTCGAGATAGGGTCGAGGTGGCTCCAATTGAGGAGAAATTGGTTCAACATCGGCTGAGGTGGTTCGGACATGTCCGACGGAGGCCTCCTAATGCACCGGTGCATAGGAGAGTTCTTCAGCGGGTCGATGATGTTAAGAGAGGTAGAGGTCGGCCTAAACTCACTCGGGAAGAGTCGGTTCAGAGAGACCTTAAAAATTAGAATATCTCCAAGGATTTAGTGGTGTATAGGAGCGTTTGGAGGCTAGCGATCAACGTGCCGGAACCGTGACTTTTGCTCCTTTCTCTTTTGCTCCAATCTCTTCTTTTTGTTTTGTTTTTGTTTTTGAGTTTTGTTTTGTTTTATTTTGTTTTGTGTTGTTTTGTTTTGTTTTATTTTGTGTTGTTTTGTTTTGAGCCATTTTTGTGTTTTTCTTACCACTGTTTCCCTTGGGTTTCATCTCTAGCCTACCCCAACTTGTTTGGGACTAAAAGACTTTGTTGTTATTGTTGTTGTTGTTGTTGATGATGGAATAATAACTCTTTGGACAAATAACCCATAGTTCTTCAAATGGACAAATTATAAATAAGTTTCTTTATTTTGGGAAAGCTATAAATTGAACTGAAATAATCAGGGATGTGCGATTATTGTGCTGGTTATCCCCGAGGATGTGGACTGCTCATTGATTTTGGTCATATGGTGTATCTACTGGATATTTCATTAAGTTCACACTTTGTGTGCCATACCGCTGTTATGCGATTATCCATAATAAATCTGTGAATCTTATTAATGATTCCGCTAATAAACTTCTCACCAAGATGATCTTATCATAATGATTTGATGTTTAGGAAGCAAAAGATCCTCTTGAGAAAGCTGTGTTAGATGGTCGGCAATTGGCTTTAAAGGTAAATCATCTCGAGCATGTGTTTTGTTTAACATGTTGTCATATGTTATTTTATTAATTATTTACATTACTGCACATTTTGTTTGATTTATTTCAGATAAGTGCAAATTCCGTATATGGATTTACTGGAGCTACCATCGGCCAGTTACCTTGTTTGGAGATATCTTCAAGTGTAACCAGCTATGGTAATAAACTAGAGATGTCTTAGAGCATAAGTTCCAACATTTACTCCTAATTATGGGATATTACTTATTCTAACTGTCATCCAACTATGATTTTATTGGTTTCCAAAGGTCGACAGATGATTGAACACACCAAAAAACTTGTTGAAGATAAATTCACTGTGCTTGGGGGCTATGAGCACAATGCCGAGGTATAACGCCCATATAATTCTCTTAATGAAACATTGATAAGACAAGCTTTATTAAAAATTGACATTTTTCTGTGTATTACTTGCATCACCGGATCAATTATATATATATATATTTATATATATATATATAAATAAGTTGACAGCATAGATTTTTTTTTGTTTCATTAGTCAAGTTCTCAATAAATAAAATTTGAGACTTTCAGTGAACACGGAGAAATTAGCATTCTTGGACTAGTTTCACAAATTATATCTTTGTTTTTCCTGATTCCTTGTGAAATTATATTATCTCTCTAGTGCTTGGGACTCAAGTACAGATTATTTGATCTGCCCCCCTTTACTTTCAGGATGTCTTAATTAAACTTTTGTCATACCAAAGATTGCTGGATTCTTTCGATAGCATTGTATTGTTTCTTGAAAGAGATGAAGTGTGTTAGTCATGGCTGTAATGTTCAAGAGTACTCCGAGTTATCTTGATCTTGTATTTTGAGATATAATGTTGTATAACCCTGATATTAAACATAAGGAGCAATGGTTTCTCCCATAATAGTGCCTATATTTTTGCTGTCAAGAATTGATCTAGTTTAGCAAGTTCAATTGAATGTGTTAATCTTATTGCCAATAATCAAGATGTGTGTATTCAGTCAAAGCAGTTTCCGTGGCTTCTTAAGGTTTTATTGCAGTTTGCTAAAAGTGTGAAATGCTTCTGTACTATTTTCATTCACATGCATTGAATAAGTTGCCTGTAAAATTCAATCCAAGACTGATTGGGTCTTCTAGCTAGTTGACATTTTAAAAAATGAATCATATTCTTTATCTCAGAGAACTGTAATGAAATAAAGAATTAAGAGAAATTCAACTTTTATTCATTTTTAGTAATGCGTTCCAGTATACTAGGATATCGTGATTGCACTGCACTTTGTTTGTGCTGAAAAGCAAAGATGCCTTTTATTTATTTTATCAGTTCATGTTCATAAACATGTTGCAGAGGCATAGCTTAAGTCATAGACATGACACTCCCCTCATGATCAATTTGATCCGTTCCTTTGAAGTGAGCATTGGAGAGTATATTATAGCTTCTTCTGTCCGTGATGTTGCACGCACCATTATATGTAGTTCCTGTGTTCAATATACTTTTTATAGTTCACTATGAGATGGAAAAAAGATTGAGTATGATGTTGCTAAGCAGGTCATATATGGAGATACAGATTCTGTGATGGTGCAGTTTGGTGTGTCCTCGGTTGAAGCAGCCATGGACTTGGGTAGGGAAGCTGCTGATTATATCAGTGGGACCTTCATCAAGGTAAGTTATTGGTTTTCTTAGATTTTCACCTCTCATTCATTACTATCTCTAAATGCATCCAGCAAAAAGGAAACTTAAGAAATTGGAAACTCAGTGAAAGGAGTTGTGCCCTGACTACTTGGGTAATTCCAGTCTGTTTCTGAATGCACTGACCAAATCTTTTAATCTGGTTATTCTAATGCAGTTAATTTTGATTTCTCGAAATTACCTGATTTATTTATGAAAATTGTTGTCTCGGGTACACCTTATCATTCCACATTTTTTTGCTTATGTATTATTTATGGGTAGCATCAGGCTTTTCTTAATTTGTCAACACTCATGTTTCACTTTTTGTGAATTGATTCATAAGTTGTGCATATGCACAGTGCTTGGCACGTTAAGTAGCTTTCTGAATACAACTTGTCTTACTATTGTTTTTATAAGCCTGTGCTACCTTTATTGTTTTCTGTTTTCTGTTTTTTTTTTTTTTTTTTTTTTTTTTTTTTTTTTTTTCTATTTACTAGTAACTCATGGTTGTTTTTGAAATTTTATTAATATTTGTATTTGAGATTTACACTGAAACGATAGTTACCTATTCATTATCAGGTTTGTATATTATTTAATGTTCACAGTTATTATTGCATCCATCTTTACTTCTTTCCTTCTCCCATGCTTTCTGCTCCATTTGTCTTCTCTTTCTTATTCTTTTCTTCTTGCCATTGTCATTTTTCTTGTCAGCCTATTAAACTAGAGTTCGAAAAAGTTTACTATCCATATCTGCTTATTAGTAAAAAGAGGTATGCTGGTCTTTACTGGACAAATCCAACAAAGTTTGACAAGATGGACACCAAAGGTGAGCAGTCTTCTCATTCTACTTCTGTGCGCACAATCCATTGTTTATCTTTTATGTATTTCTTCATTGATTGCACTAGCTCCGCGCATTGATTCCATTCCGTTAATGT